GTTTTCTTAGAGGTAATATTTTGGTTATAAATCACGTGAATTTGCTTTTTTTCCGTCCGTGACGATCGATGCCGCCCACAAAAACAGCTGCAATCGTCAAGTCTTTCTCAATGATGACAACAGGCCGAGTCGCCCACACACTTTGCCCCACGGAGCAGTCGTTGAATAACACTGCGCGCTGCGTGTGTTCTGTAGTGCTAAAACTCAAATGTGCTTAAACAAGAACTAAGCTTTGTATCTTGTGCCACAGAGAAAGAATATCCTTGCAGTTTCCGGCTAAATTAACCTTCTAATAAAGGCTAAAATATATTAAAAGCCGATGGAATATTTGACGTTTTCCTTGTTTGATGAATGAAGGTAATTTGTTCGAGCGCAGTTGCTTTGCATTTTCAAAGGGTTAATTCATTAAGGCGATTTTTGCGGGGAATTTAGTCCACTTTGGACGGAAGAAAAATTAATTAAGGAAAGGTTCTCTTTTCACAACAAGTAGAAACGGCTTTTAAATTCAGCAACGAAGTCAACAATCATAAATTTAGATTTTCCGGTTATTTTTGTTTTTTTTTTATCGAATGTACCCGGGAGAGAGACAGAACTACTTGAGAAACACAAAAACTGATGATATTACATTACTTTTATGTTTCGCGTGATGAAACTTAAAGAAGATGTTTCGTCATTATTGTTGTTCATAACTGTACTCGGGAGGTAAAAAAAACATCACAGCGCGATGGATTCATCGGATGTATTCGTTGCAACAAGCCCGCTCCGACATTATGAAGCAATAGATTCGTTTTTCATACTAATCGAATAGAATTATGTGAGCGAACACTCGCGCGCAACTTCAAACAGCATAAATCGTTTTCATTGATCTTGGATATGAGAAGGAAAACATACGGCTACAAATGGAAATATCAGCACACGCTACAAAATCCATTTAAGAGTTGTATAGCAAAGGGAAAAAACACATGCTGCGATTTCAAGCATACAACATGAACGGGCCAATCGTAATTAGAACACTCACTGTTCAAAAATAAAACTTCGCGCATACAGCGCTCAGGCTTTCTTAAAAGTGAATGGATCATTAGGGAGTCTGTCTCAAGTTTTGTTCAAGTTTTAATCTGCGAATCGCAACGCCAGGTGATAGGCATTAAGTGTTTTATCAATTCAAAGGCAAAACGCAAATTCATTTCTCCGAGACACCTCTTAGTTTGGCGTCTAAACCGCCCGATGGGAGCGAATCGAAAGGTTTTTTCGCGCTTTTTTAATTTTCGTTCTCTATTTCATTAATTCCAAGAAAAGACGTCAGGAATTATTGTGGCTGTATACTAATCTAAAGGGGATGAAAACACATTTCGCGTTGATACATCAAGAACTGTAATGGAAAATGTTTTTTGTAACAGTAAACGATGTTACTTTACGAGAGATCGAAAATTTTTGTGCTATGGTAAGCTGGATGCGGTTTAAATGATAGACTTATAAGTGTTGTTTTGACTTTACCTAGTCGATCTTACCTTTAGATCGTCGCTTTGTTCGGTGATCGTCAATTTGGCGGTGAACGAAAGTTCCTGTAAGTGACCACGCTCAATTTACGCAAGTTTGTTTAGAAACACCGACAGCCGACCTGTGAATGAGACAACTGGTACCAAATAATGTTACCACCAAGTCATTATACAGCCTCACTTTCAAGCAAGTATAGATGAAGTCGAGGCCGTCAAAAACCAGGCAACAACGAATGAAAGTTTGCCGGCAGAAGAACCCTATTTTAAATAATTTTATTAATTTAACGATTTCCATGGATATGCCGTCCTTTTTTTTTAATCCCAAAAGACTTTAAAGCCTGACAGACAGAATACAACATTTTTTACGATTCAATATGGCGCCCAAAATGCGACGTGACACCAATACCGCTTTTTTGCTGTTGTTGTTGATGTATCATTAATTTTTATTATTGTTAAATACTGGAGTTGCTCACCAAAATCCAGTTTTTATTTTTTAGCATTTCCGGAATAATCTTCCGAGCGTCTAGAGTCGATTCTGGCGATTTTATTTTCAACTTTTAAACCCGTGGAATTGATAGTAATAGCGTTTTCTATACCTAATTAAAGAAACGTTTTCATGGAAGAAAACTTAGGCTTTAACAGTGGTACACATTGAGATTCTCTCAAATAAGTGGAGCTTGTTAATTGCAAAATTTAGATTTATATTCAGTTTTTCCAGACGAGCATTATTTTCAACCCGCAATAAATAATTCTGTCGCATCACTCATCATCGTTCAGGCTTTTTAAAAGACAATTTGTTTATCATCTTGAGTGTATAAATGTCTTGACAAGGATGTAAAGAATAATTTTAATCGCGGTATATGTTTCAGAATATATTTCTTAGAGATTTGAAAAATAAATCAATTTCAAACTTCGGCCGATCTGAGACTCGACTTGAGGTGAATTCTCGGTTTCCTTTTAAAAAGTTGAAAAGACACTTAGCTTGCAGCTGGAATTATAATTCAAGCCCAAAATATAAACATGAGAAAAAAAAGACCATATATGGAGTCAATGAGTATGAACAAAAGTTTATCTCAAGAATTTGATTACATTATTACATTTATTGTTGATATCCATTAGTTTACGTTTAGATCACGATGTGTTTTATCCACCGATGGATAGTTGAAAGATATAACAGATCTTTTTCGTGATAATGTTCTGTAAATCTGCAGAGTGAATAATTTGATTTAAGAGTGCCGTTTCTTGAGCCGAAAAAGGAAACCTGATAGTAAAGAAAGTAGGTGAAACTTCTTCTACAATGAGAAAATGGTATGTTTGAACTTCCGCCTTTCGCCTTTGTTAAAGAAGAAGGGTTTATATTCTGCCTCCTGAGACCTACGCAAAACGTAACGATCTGTTTACCACAATTAAGATCACACAGGAAATCTCCGATGTTACTCCCAATACAAGCCAATTAAAAGCTAAGTCATGTTCCCAATTAAATGAATTTAAAAATTTAGATTCGTGATTTGTTCAAAAACCGTCAAATGGTAATTAAAATCTTGACAGATGCCAAATATGGGAATTGAAAGGAGTATTAAGACATTTTCTGGTCTGGGTTCCGCGGGAACATCAATTACTGTCTAATTATTACACAGAGTTTGTTAGTAGCGAACCGGCGGAATTGAGAATGCAGATACCTGTTCTTTTTCCAAGAACTGTCGTCAAATGTAATTGAAATATTGACAGACGCCAATTAAAGAGAGAAAAACTGTAAACCAATTTAAATCCTTTGTAATTAGTAACGTAAAAAAAAGAGCAAAAATGAAGAAAGAATGACATAAAAATGGCTGTACGGTTTTTAATTAAGACAGAACGCTTGTTGATCTCTAGATTTTGACTAGAGAAGATTACGCGGTGAATTCTTCGCCATCTCGGCCACCGACAACTGACTTTCGTAAAAGCACAATGAGGATTAAATAAAGCACACCAATGAAAACGGAGTTCTTACGAAGACTCAAAAGGATTTTTTCCGAATGAATTCGTCCCTCAAAACTGATATCTTCGTTGCGGCAAATATTAGATGCAATTTATGCTCATTGATTCCATTCAAGATCAACTGGACAGAAAAAATTAGGAGTCACTGACTATAAATACCGAGAATCCGCTGAAAGTTGCAAAATTTCGTAATGCAATTTATTTTTCCTAAAGAACCCTTTTAATAAACCTTCTTCACAAAGTATATAAAAAAAGTTCGATCGCGCTTTGCTTTCACCAAAAATCTAAAAGTTCAAAATACGCCTAGATGGCCGTCGTCCCTCCCTCCCGTAAATCAATGAAAAATTATGCAACTTCGGCAACTTCGTACGCCACGATGCGATGAAATCCTGCTTTTGTGTGCTAGCAGAGGGTCCTTTCATCTTTTTGAAAAAATATATTTATTTGTATGTTGTTACGTTTAGGTCTACATAGTGGCTTGTTGAAATATGTCCTTTGTCCTAAAATCCAATTCGTTTGTTGATTTTTCTTCGCTCAAAAGAAATACCGTGTACATGTGATAATTTAGTCGGTGAAATGCAAATCACCGCAAACAGAAAAAATTACGGCATTTGAACGGATTTGAACCTGTGACTATCAAAACTGATCCTCATTTCAACGTGGACGGGTCGGAAACTATTATATTTGTCTTAGAGATGCCACAAATATTCAACCAATCTAGTTACACTTATATTGTTAGAATACCTTTTTTCCATGTTATGATATTTTCTTTTAATATTTTAAATGAATTTAGTTTGAACAAGAGAGGATGGCAATAAGGTGGCCAGCTTTTTCGGCTTTGTTAGTTCTATCCACTTGCATAGCCCCATCGAAGCCTCATGTTGGTTAAATTTACAGACAGGGTCATTAAGTATCATCATGTGAGTTGATTACGTAAATTGGCCACCGTAAAGAGTTTAAAAGCTGACATTTCGAGCGTTAGCCCTTCGTTAGTCGCTCTAATGAAGGGTTAACGCTCGAAATGTCAGCTTTTAAACTCTTTACGGCGGCTAATTTACGTTATCAACTCAGTTAATAACACTATGAATTACCCTGTTATACTCTGTTATAAGGTTAGGTGTTGCAAACGAAAGTTATTTTTTTGAGCCTCTCTTAGAGGCTTGGAGATATAACTTTCGTTTGTTAACGTCCTGATCTCTCAACAATTTCTATATACAATAAAAGGTGGTGAACTTTGCTCAAAAGCGTTAAACAAGCGTATCAGAAAATTATACAAAAAGTAACATTTGGTCATAGCAATATTTATCACATTTCTCATTCATCTTCCGACAAATGTCCTGTTTGGGATATCTGCTTTCTCCCCTTAATTATTGGTTGAAAATCTTGTGGTATGACAGTGTGATTTTCCTTCAGCTGTACGCTTGGCAAAGGCTGCTTTACCATAATTCGCAATTTGAGGAGCTGGGCAGGACTTGTTTGACGGTCGGTTGTAGGCTTGGAGGATTTCGCCACGCCTTCGTTCGCCACTTAGACTGCTGTCTTTTGGCGCTCGGTTGAGCACTTGTAGGGCCTTTCTCTATCGTGGGCTGTGATAGATGAGATCTTGCCTTCGTCACGTTTTCTTTGTCTGACTGAATGCCGGGTAAAGCTGGTTTTACGGTCAAGATGCCGCCAGAATCTTCCTCTTTTTCCCAGTTTCGGTTTGCCACAAGTCGAAGACGGTGTAGCTGTTCGAACTCTCCGCGTTTAATGTTACGAAAGGCATAACCTCCTGGTTTTGGTTGAAAGCTCAATGGGGTGTCTTTTTGACGGGGCTTCACGTTAGGTATCAATTCTGTTTCTGTAGCTGTCTGGCTTCGCCTAGCTCGCTTTTGTAAAGGTTTTGAAGGAATATTTTCTAGTGGACGTTGGAGACGTGATAGCGCTTCACCCTGCCCTACCGAAATTTCCGTTCCCCTCACAGCTGAAGTTCTTGAAAACTTGTTTTCTACCAATACATTTTGTGGGCTGAAAGACTTGACTGTTGTCTTTCTTGGCACCCCTGCTGTCTCTTGATCTTTCGTCAGAGGTTGCTCCCCCGAAATTTCCAGCAGACTTGATTTCATTTCCCTGGCTACCAAAGTTCCTATGTATCCCACTGTATGTTGCAGTCTACGCAGTCCCTCTGTTCGTAAAATTTGTTGGCTCTTGGCCTGCCGGTTCTCAGTGAATCCTGAGCTATCTTTTTCTATACTTGGCTGACGACTAGGGAACTCATCTAGTGTCTGCCTAAAGCTAGGCAATAGCTTTTTCAATGGCAGTTTAGGGATTCTGTGAGGCAGCTCTTTTGTTGGGTGAAAGAACGCCAGATGCGCTTTATCCCTTGGCCTAATTATTGCAGTCTTCCTGGTTACCAAAAATCCCGGATGGTGTTCCAGTGCTGTCTTAGGGTTTTCCAAAAATGTTTTGTCAATCGGTTTAAGACTTGGCAACATTTGTTCCTCAAAACATTTCTGGTTCCCTTTTGTAATCTTCTTTGGTTTTTGTTTCGTTTCTATCCTCTTTGTTCTGTAATTTTCTGGCAAATAATCATTCTGGTTCGGAGGCCTTTCCTCTCCCGCTGACTCCAATGCAGCCTTTGGTGCCACAGCCTCCTCATTCGGATCGAACAGACTGTTATCTTTCTGTTTCATCTCACGACTTTGCAACATGTTCCCTTCCGGGGGACTGTGAACTTTTGACTGAGCAGTCTCTACAGGATGAACTCCTTTCGTCTGTTCGCCCTCCGCCGTATGAACACCTTCCGTGGTTGCCTCCATTTCTTCAAGGACTGGCGATAGCTGTCTCTTAATCGTTGGAAGCACAGGAACACTCGGCAAGAATCGTTGTCGTCGCGAACAACCTTTCAGCTGTGCCTTCACCACAGTCGGCTCAATACTTGGCAGAGAGAGCTTCTCCGGCATGGGGATGTTTGGCAGTAATCGTTTCACCGTCGATTTCACCTTTGTTTGCGGTTTCTCGAATGACGAAGCATCTCGCTTTCCAATGGATGGAAGAGTCGGTAAAAGCTGGTGCACCGAGGTAGCTACGTTTGCTTTGATACACGACAGGGGTACGTTTTCCGCCGTGGGATTACTTGGTAGCATTCTCTTTACTGAAGACTTAGGTCTTGTTGGCGCGTTCTTTACCTTTGGTGGTATGGTGGGCAGACCTAACTTCTCCGTGGGCCATAAGCTAGGTAAGGTCTGCTGACAACTTGGCAGCGACTGAACCACTGTAGGTTGGATGTTCGGCAAGGTGATTTTCTTCTCAGCAGAGCCTTCTATCCTCAATTCTCGATACATCGCGGTGGTTTTTCCCTCTTCTATGCTATTTGATTGGGGAAATTCTCCGCATTGACGCATTTTTGATTTTCAGGACACCACTCGCGAAAATCAGCGCAAATATCTATGATTTTTGGCACAAAAACAAACTCACAAACAGTTTCTAAGAGCAGCATTGAAGAAATGAGTTTATTTCCTTTGTTGCGTGAGAACTTCGTAATGGTGACGAACGGCGCGCGCTCTCCAAATCTCATGGGGGAGAAGAACATAAACATTTTCATGAAAAACGAGTGAAAATAGGCCCTTTTTTCTTCTCAGACTTCAAACTCGTCCTCTGTAGTCCTCTTTCATGTTGCTGACGCTTGCCTGGAGGTGTTTCAGTCACCTAGAGAGTGCATGCTTGACCTTTCAAGACCATTTCTAACGCGCATCTTTTCTGTGCAGGCTGTTCACTAGACACTTGCATGTCTTGTGATACATCAAATTCTAACAGAGAGAAAAACTCAACAAAATTATATTGTGATGATTGCTGTAATAAATCGATGTGGGATAACTCAGTTGGAAATAAGATGGCTTTGACTTTTTTGCTCCAAATAATTATGATCTTCCGAGATTCAGTTAGCAGATTGCGTGAAGAAACAGAGAAAAAAACTCAACAAAATTATTTTGCGACGATTGCTGTAATAAATTGATGTGGGATAACTCAGTTGGAAATAAGATGGCCTTTACTTTTTTGCTCCAAATAATTATGATCTTCCGAGATTCAGTTAACAGATTGCTGAAGAAATGAACAAGAAATTAATATCTGTGCCAATTCTTTTTCTTTTCAAGTTAAATGAAGATCCTTTGCCGACCGATTCAAGTTATCTTAGAAACCCACTAATGCAAAACAGAAGATCTAGAAGCATTTTGCGAGTTATCTGCAACAAGTACTAACCTATAGAAATTGGTTTCTCTCTCTCTCTCTCTCTATCCATTTTTGGTGGTAATTCTGATCTGATAAATTGAGTGACTTAAGATAGAAGACTTTTGAGTGAGCGTCGCGTGGGAATCCGCTGTCCAGATCGTACCGTCAAGCTCTTACTTTAGCAGGTACCTTTGCAGAAATGGTGCCAATATTGACACAGGCCCCATTACTTCACCTTTATTCAGATACATAACTGTTGGATCATAATCGTGTTAAAGCATTTGCCTTTCCAAAGTGCAAAACAGGTATGATAAAGAAAGATGAAAATTTATATGTTTAAGTGAGAGTCTTTGAACACAATAATGAGAGCTAGAGGCTCAGAGCTTCCGCTTTCTGACTGCATGTTGGAGAGCGTTCATGGCGAGAAGGCCACAAAAACTAGTTTCAAAACATTTTCTCACGGACAAATTTCATAAGCCGACTTAGGACAAAACATTTGCGAGGAAAATGGTTAACTAAAAAAGTCGCGAGGCATCTTTAATTACGATTCTGTATTCATCAATTCCTCTAATGTTTCACTATTCATGGAATTCGTCGCATGCTTTTCCTAACATATCTTGTTTCGAAATCATTTTTTGTTTCTTCTGTTAAAGTTATGTGATGAGAAATTTCAAAGGAAGAATCTCAGATTCAGTCTTATCGTATTCCAAACCAACATAGAAGCTTCGTCGACGTGTACGTGTTGAAGGATAAATTTAGCTGTTTGAACTCGAGACAGGTGCTATTGTGCATTTTTATTCAAGTTTGCACAACAAATTCTAATTAATGATCTCGTGACAAGCGCCGCGTTCGATTAAGAAAAGCAGCCAAGCTTGAACGATTCATCATCAAGGAAACAGCAGACGACTCACAAAAGGCACATAACATAACATCTAAGCTAGAATCAGCTGCTGCGTTTGTTACCGAGGAAGAAGTCGATCACTAAACAGAGATGTCTGCATCTGCAAGGTAACTAGAGAACGTTTCGTTTTAACGGTTTGGAGACCTACCTAAATTTTTGCATTTCTTAAATCGAAAGCTTAGCAACAGGATAATATGTAATAATAATGTTTACTGCGTATCTGTTTAATGAAACATGATTGTTCTAGACTGAGCTTATTATTCAGCCAGTCTGGAGAACGCATGAGTTCTTCAGTTTCAACGTCTAGTTTGCAAGCCAAAATCGTTGTGCAGTCTGACTGCATCGTATTAATCTCAAGATATGCATGCAAAAATTTCCTTGGGATATATGTTACATCGGTGCAGTATTCTAAATTATTTGGAACCGTTGATTTTTTAGAAGCGTTGATTTGAACAATACCTCCGCCAGTAAGTTTAGGATAAAGAATGGTCGAAGAAATGTAAGAGTCCGCCTCGAAGACATGTTTGTTCACTCCAAAACAGAACTGAAATTCCATGTGACATTCCCAAATGTGTGTATTTACTTTGCTTCAAATATTGAAATTTATCTTCCTTCAAAGGACTTAATCTGATTATGCTATAAAAGTAACTTAAATGGCACTTGTTATTAGATAATATAAACACATTCACCACTAGTACTAAAACCGTATCGATCTTATAAGTTTCAACAAATTGCTGAAATTTAACTTATTTCCACAACATTTGTGATGTAATCACACGAATAAAGTAGAACATACCTACTTTGCTGCCAAATCAGCCGAGCATAGTGATAAAATTCCTGATTCTGCGCGAAAACCTATCAAATTAACTCTTATTTCAACACAACAACTTGTGTTCCAATTCGTTCGACATGAAAAAGTGCGGCAGTTCTTATAGTTCTTCGTTTTCAATAGCCATGTTTGATGGACCTTTGTTTTCTGTCGGAAAATGATATCCAAATTAACGAGACAAATTACAAAAAGGTAATGACAAACAGGAGACCGTTTTAATAACAAAAGCAATAATCCGATCGCGACTGGCTTTTGTGTACCATAGTTTGTGCACGAAATGAAAATAGAAGTCATTAAATAAGCCGAGAATTAAAACAACATGGAACGGACTCGGTCGAGATGGTGAAAATTATCGAGCAGTCAAACATAAACCTGAAGATTTGAAGCATTGTAAGAAGTTATCATTCACACATTTGTGCTACGAAGCAGATTTTTTGGAAGGAGATAGAAATTTCGTGACTCGATGTAAACGTGTTCGCCATGGCAGTTTTGGAACTCACCAACAGGTACTTAACGGAAGAAGTGATATTTTCTTCTATTCGAAATTTATCTTAATATTTTTCTGTTCACAGGAAAGGCTTTAATATCAAGGACAACAGTTACTTCACAGTTCATCAATAAAGAACTGGACTGGCATTCTTAAACTCACGTCGAAACAACAACACAAACATGGCTTCCCTCGCACCACGGTAGGTCGACCATTACTTCAAAGTGAAAAGAACACTGTACGTTGTTGAATGAAAACTGACTCATTCGAGGTTCTTACAATGCAGGAGATAAAGATAAGAGATTAAAATAATGGCTGAGCACTTATTTTAAAATACGAGGTAAATGCATACACAACCGAAATCCAACCTTCAAGTAACAGACACAAACCTAAAACGAGTTGATTGCGAGTGTGCTTAGCCATGTTTCGAATTGCCAAAGTGTGCCATGTATTTTCAGTTAATTGCATCGCTATTTGTACCCCTTGGTTTTGCCTCTGATCTCCTTTGTCGATCCTTGTGGTTTGAGTCTCCGAACCAAGCCGCCTAGATTCGTACCCAGGTCTTCTAGAACAAGCTCGACAGCGAGAATCGAAGCACCTCACCAAGCATCACTATAACCTTTACCACTGACATTGGGAGAAACTCTAAACCCACTGGGGTATTGGTAGTGTTCATTTTTACCTTTGCCATTTTCACTAAACTTTAACCTATAATATTGACGGTTGTTGCGTTTTTTCCCGCCATAAAGCGCAGTATCTCGAACTCGAAATCGTTCACGAGTCAGAATCTTGAGTTCTGAATTACTGAGTACAACTTGTTATCGATAGATTTTTCGGTAAAGAAGTCTGACTTAAAATGTTGAATGAGATAGGGATCAACGACGTGCAAGGAGCGGGGGAGGGGTGGGGGTGAGATGGCGATTCTTAGTCGCATCAAGCAGAGAACTGTGTTAATTTTCTTGTCCAGCAGGTTGCTTTTAATCCAGATGTAAAGGAAAAATTTTTTTTCTTATTTTCCATTACTTTACATAAATACATAAAGATCTAGCCGACTAAAAATGGTCATAACATTTCTAAAGAGAAGTGACTTAACAAAAGATGAACAAACCATAATTCCCTAGCGAGTTTCAAAAGGGTTTTATTTCCTTATAAAAATGAACCCTGTGTAAAACCCACCGAATTGTGATTCATGATTATCTATCGTATCTCCATGATAACCAATACGCGGACGAAGGCAGTCTCCTTAGCTTAATGAAAATTTTCAGTTTCTAAAAATGACTATGTTTTTCCTTTGGACCGGAAAGGTAAGTTCTCGTGGAGCGAAGGTAAACGAAAACTCCCGTGGTGGACTTTGTTGTCCTGAGAAGGAAAAATGCTGAAATTGGTTTTCGTGTTTATAGCGATAAACAATGAATATTGATGTTGAATATTTCAGCGTCGATTTTTGCAAGCGCAGTTTACGTTTCGTTTACGCACAGACGGCCATAGAAATAAAAATTCAAATGCTTCGTTTTAAATCGACCGGCTGTATATAAAAGTAGACAAGGTTTTCATTAGAATTGCAGGGTCAAAAAAAAAGTGATTAATGATTTAGAAGGCTTGGCAACGCCAATCGCAAGTGTTGTTTTCATCCCTAATGCATAGGGGGTAAGATGTTTTGAACAGAACTATTTAATATGTAATATAGACGTAAATTCACTAAGTGCAGGTGTACATGAGGCTGTAGCTTCGTTTGAATTTTAAGTTTTTGACTTCAAAATTTTAATTGACTTCTGGCAAACAAAGTTGACGGGTTTATATTTCGCGCGCGACATTCTGACTACAAGGTAGGTAATTTTCCTTTAACCAGCTACTTTTCTATCACAATCTGAAAGCGGAAAAAATTTTGAAAGATTGCTTCTTTTATAGATAATACCGAATACAAGCCCCAAACTTTTATGCTTTTTGTATTGTTATACACTTGCGTACATTATTTTCCGTCGATGTTTGATGAGCAGTTTCCCGTTTATTCCATTTATCTCAATTTTTCAGCTGATTTCATGATAAGCAAATGTTTGAATTTGATAGCTTTTGTAATAGAACGATTATTATCGTTACGGCGCATACAATTACTGGGGTATCTTGAAAAAATATTACCGAATCTAAGCATTATGGGCGGACAGTTTGTTTCTACAGCACTTTTTAACTAACAGGAAGAAAAACATCTATAATATTTTATTGTGATAGTGTTGCCTCGAGTCCCAAGCAGGTTGTGTATAAAGGAATCTATATAACTTGTCGAGTATTTAGGTTGGCAAGGCATAATTTTCCGTTTCTAAGAAACGAAAAAAGAAACAGAAAATTCATTCAGGGGAATATTAATGAAACAAGAAACAAATTTGAAAAGATTATGTCGGAACAGGGATTTTTGCTGGATCACAGTGACTGGCCGGCAAGTTCGATTGAAATTTTTACATTGACAATCTCCAAGGTTACAACTCTGCAGGTGCCTGTGAAATGATATTGAAACTTTTCTTGAAGTTTCATCTTAAATCGCGAACTTTGCCAAATCGGTGCTTGAAAGGGAATTCAGAAACAAATGCTGTTTTACAATTTCTGGCAATCTGATAAATATGGAGCGAAATTCAATATTGTATGACCATATGAAACCAGGTTGAAGCCAAAGTATACTCAAGCATTAGACTGCGAAATGTGAAGAAAGTTCACTAGCAATAAACACTGTTTATTAAAGGTATACAAATGGTTATACTAAGAGCAACATTCGTAACACAGATTGATAGTATCTTTGTTTTATGTTGCTAATTTTATCCACAATACAAAAAAAATTGAAATCCCGCGAAACTTTTTTTTCCATTAACATTTTGCGGTAACAAGAGACAAACCGATAACCAATCAACTAGAGATTTCCATTTTTCGTGTAATCTAGTTTTGCTGGTTGAATTCAAAGTCAAAACTTGCTGAGCGCGCAATTAGGGTTTTTAATCAAGAAATGCAAATAGAATTGCTGAAATAGAATCTGAAATAGAGGTGAAAATCATATCGGCTTTTTCCTTTTAATCATGCTCGCACACAAAGCCTAAAAATCCACCTGTATAAAGAGCTTTAGGAACACATCTCATTGATCAGACGAGCTAAACCACTTGACGGTAATTCATGAACTGCATCCACGGATTGTTCGACAAATAATCTTGTACTTTCCTGTTCTTTATTACGTTCATTTACATAGGAAATCCTTTCTATAGGAAATTGAGTACAAAGTAAATCCACTTAACTAACAATGTATGCATTTGTCCTTTAACAAACCTCTTTGCGCCTAGTCGTCAGATTCGATCGTGTTAATTAAAAAACTGCGCAAATTTATAACCGGATAAAGTTCTTTTTTTCGAATCAATAATTAAACATACATTACTGTCTGATAACCAACTAGCAAGGGCATTATGAACTTTTAAAGTGTTTTGCTACGTGCAAGCGGAAAGTCGCTCGTACAAGTGTGAATCGTACAACTGCAATATTGAAGAGGTAAAATATTCACTGTACGCAGAGCTACACGGGACCACTTTCGACTAATTATGAATAATTCTGACTCACATCAAAATAATTTCACAAGACTCGCCCAATTGGTGAGATAACGAGATAATTTTAGTCCTGCAGAAGAAAGTGCGCTTGAAAAGGTTGCAGCACTTCACGGCGGCTCTTCCATATACATTCCGCGTTTTAAGAACCGCACTCCTTTAGGGAACCAGTGACAAAAACAACAATTTAGACCTCCTTGGGCGATTCTCGCGGAAAATGCACGGGTTGATAGACATGAATTGGCCGTTTTGAGAACTACCGATGTCGCGAAAAATCTGTACAGACTTGAAACTGGCGAATAACATAACGAATTCCTATTAATAGATAACATTCGGCTAATTCCAATTCATATAGACTCAGATGTGAGTTGGAACTTGCGATAACAACTTTCTCATTTTTTCCAGACCTGTACATCTGCCACCTTTCCATGGCTACGATCTCACGGAAGGACCAAGCATGGCTCCAAACAGGCTGGGAACGAAATCAGGGGCGTTCTAGTCAGATGAGAAATTATCGTAGTCCTGCACCATCCCAGAAAGGAGCCAGTAAAAATTCGATTTTGCAATGTAACAAAATGTCAGTTAAAGCCAAACAAGTGGATGACAAAGCAAGACAAATACGCCTTAAATATGGAAAAAGTAACTTGGAGAGGGAGTTAAATAAAAAGAAGGGCATTGACATGACTCCTTTTGTCACAAAAGTTCAAATAAGAAAGACTCTTGAGCGAAACAAGGTGACATCAGCGGGGAGGGCTGGGGCGAGAATAGGAGTTATCATTGAGACACCCCGCATGTCCGACGATGAAACGATTGGGGAAAATAACAGTGCATCTAGTTTGGAAACTGTTGGCGGAAACGAGAAAGGAGAACAAGACGCCATGTTGTCTGATGATATTATTGTAATGCAAGAAAAGGTAGATAAGCAACAGGATGATTACGTTCAAAACCTCATCAAATGTTTGACTCGAAGATTAAAGGATCCTTTCGAGGCATCCCGAACCCACATTCCGCCGACTCGACCAATAGCAGCTTATGCCCGACCCACGAAGGGAGAAATTGCTTTAAGCGTAAAGGGTCCTGTAATTTTGGCACCCGTTTCAAAGGTTGTCAAGACAACGGGGGAAAGAGACAGTTTAGACAGGCCAAGCCGGTTTAACACGAGGTCACTGCCCGAGTTTGCAGGCTCAAGGACTGAGAGAGCCCACACTCGCCCAATTTCATCGGTCAGCGATAGCGTTGTTGTGACGGGAAGGAAACTAAATAATTTTAATCGAGCATGGCTTGGATGTGAACATGCGCAGAACAACTCGTTTAACCCGAAGAATCCTCTCTGTTCTTCATGCAGAGCTGCGGGCGGCTCAAACTCGGATACGAGGGCCACGTATGAACGCGCCAAGAGTGCACTGCCTCGCGAGGGCATTCGACAAATTAAAAACGATGGACGTCTTCCTCAGCTAGATATTCGGCAAACTCCCTCGCAATCACTCAGAAAAGTCGATAAGACTCACAGCGCGAGCCCTAAAAGAAACCAACGAGCTCGAAACGGAATGATATCTCCCTTTGAACTTCAAGTACACCTTAATGAATTGACTTCTTATGATTACGGGTCACCAGTCCCTCCGCCTTCAATGTCTAACTCGGACGATGAGGAGGGCACTTCATGACGGCCAAAATACTTGAACGTGCTTCTTTTTTGTTAACCCTCTACATGGCGACTTTTGTAACTGACTTCACTTCACCAGCATTGTAACTCTCAGAGGCGGAAAGCGTAGATCTAATCCTTTCAGAATCAGAAATTATATCCAAAGCAAGTAAATGTTGAGAAAACGCTGAGAAACTCATCAACTTCAGGGAGTTATCCCGATATGACAAAAATCATTTTCAACAAAAAAGGAAAAATTCTAATCAGATCTTGAGAATATGAAATAGTTCTTACAGATCCACAGAAATAGTCATTGTAGTTAAGAAAACTGAAATGAGAATTACTTTACAGCGTGACGATATGAACAGTTCAAAAGTCAATGTAAAAAAGGATGAGCCATGATACATCTTGGGTACTCACGTTATTAAGACCATTTTAGTCTTAGAGAGCACGCGACTATTTATTGGTATTCTCAAATCAACTAGCAACTTACTCAGTTGAAGTGCGCCGCACTATACAAACAGTTTGTATAATGCAGTGATGTTTATATAAAGTATTGGACATTGGCCATAAAATTTGAGAATACTAAAGACAGAAGGCAGAAGTTCCAACTCAGGTTGGAAATTGTTTGTAATATTTCAATAAAGAATATAGTTCGTAGCTCAATCGCTAATGGCGCCCAACTAGTTTCTGGAGGTGAAGGTTAGAATCCCATCGAAGCCTGAATTTTTTCAGGCTTCTTTTCTGCAATTCCTTCAATTGCAGCTCACCTGCGGAGATCATTTCTCTTCCTGAGTCGCCTCCCCCTACGTTCCCCTCCCTTTCCGTCCTTATCTCTCTGTGGCGCACATTTGTCAATACAATCGCTAACTTGAAAATCTATTCCATTACTCATGGCTTACATGAAAAACGTATGCGTGTACATAACTGAAATCTCTAAAAGCCTCGAATTTCTTTACGAGCGACCCAGGAAAAAGGGAAAAAGAGGCACCAGGCTCATTAAAATTACGGAAAAATGAATGGGTAAAGCACATGTTCTTTAAAACCGAAGCCATAACGCATCGGTTTTGGATGTGAGGCCTGGGAAACTGGCTTTAAAACACGAGCGATGCCTCTTGCGAAACATCTGTAGAAACCAAACTTATATCTGCGCGTACTCGGGTTCTCGTAAAGGTAAAGTTTAGGCGCGGTCTCCATACGGTTTTTGTAATTCTTTCACATGGATATTTCACTCATATGTACATGAAATTTGTCATGAGAAAGACATGTGAAAAGCATCGAAGAAGCATGCTAAAGGTGTTTTGCTTCTCACACTGTGTTTTCGCATGCTTTTGACCAGTTCTTGAAGCCTCCGCGTGCGCTGAACTAGAGCCTTGGCGGTGATTTTATTTTTTTCGGATCGTCTTCTTTCTTACTATGCGACATCGATCGAACAAGAAAACACCAGACGAACGAGAAGAGGAAACTTCGCCATTTTATTTTAAATTTCAAATTTGTTTTTCTCGAGAGGTTAATTAATTAGCACACCTGTACTCCATGGGTCGACCCAGTTTTCCACTCAGGCATCGAAACATTTCGAATCATTGAGCTGTTTACTGCGCCATCGAAAACAGCGCATTTTTGAGACGCTAATTCAGTCAGTTCTTACTCGCCACAGTAATCAATTAAGTGACTCGGCGAGAGTTCTAGAAACCGAAACACTCTCAAGCGAAAGTTTCTTCTCCTTCAACTGATTTTCTGATTTTTCTTTACGACAATTTCGTGACCAATGACGAAACGTAGCTTCATGAAGTTCGTTTTCAAGTTTAAGTAAAGTAAAGAGGTCTCTGTTTTTTTATGGCTGAAATATGTTCCGATCATTTCTGACTGCATAGCATGGGGAAAGATGTACAGGAACGAAACAACAATGGAAAAAACTGAAGTAAACAATAACAAAACCAGTGTCGATAGCCATGCAGGTGATGAATCTATGAAAGCTAATTATTTCTTTCACCTTTTCTGGCGACATGATTAAAAGTATTTGTTTCTCAAGCTCGCAGGAATTAACCCGCTTTTGCGCACAAACGTTTAGAGCTACCTTTAAGATAGCCCATTTTTAAAATTCTTCATCAAAAAGTTAGAATAAAAGGAGGAAACAAAAGCCATTAGCTCATATCTGTCGATAAACACCGAATGAATTTCACTCCGGATGGGAATTTCTGAGTAATTCCATCTTCAAAATGCCCTCCAAAATATTTCATTCCTCTAAAAAAACTGAAGGCGTCGAACATTATTGTTTGCAGTTTATTTTGGCGTTTTTGATTGATGTGTTTTCATGATCATGTCAAGAATACATTTTTTACTTAGAGATACCGAAAAGAGAAAAAAGACATAGATACGTAAACAGTCTAATTGTTAAATGTTGAAACTTGGCGTCTCACTGCGCTGACTGCGCTGTTTGCTGCCGGGGTTATTGACATATTTGAAAACAGCCTGAAGATAAAAGCACGGTTTAAAGAAACTTGGTGTTTGCTTAAAGCATCGAAAATAACAAGTTCGTCAAGACATCAAGGTAAGCGAGATGGAGATGCAGCAATTGATGTCTTAGAATGTTATCGTTCTGTACACTTCCGATTTATCTTATTTGTCTAATTGTATTACGAACAAAAAAAACAATCTTTCGACTTTTAAGAGCAGGACAGTAAATAGAGCTACCTTTTTGTGAGATTCTTTATTTACTATTTGTATCAATGTGAGGTCTTGTTTATGTCAACCTTACTTTTTTCCTTAGCAGTCTAGACAAATTATTCAGTGTGAATGACACATAAAAATGTGTACATATGCTAATTGAACAAAAAACGAACTCAGAACTTACAAATACACTTGACCAAGAATACTTGAGATTTAATAAACTAATCAAAATATCACCTGCTCTTAAATGTTTATGAAACAAGTCAACTTCTCAGCGGTAGGCCTGATTTTGTGGAAAACTTAAGGTGAATCACAACAACACAACATTGTACACAACAAGAGCAAGAGCTAGAGCTGAGAATGCTTTAAACTCGACGCAAACCTCTCACACTTCGACGTATTTCTACTACCCACTGGTGATAAATTTCTTCGTTTTTCTGGATATTAATGTAAGTTTTAGATGTTAGAAATGTAAATTATTGGCATACAAATGAGGAATCATGTTTCACCACAAGCTATCTACAAACCTTCTATACAAAACAAGTTACAGCAACCAGATACCCAATTTAATTCAGAGTTTGAGTCAACGATGTTACCCATCTCAGTTGCATTTTCTCACGGGAATTAAATTCCATGTTGAATCGAAGACATTTTTGTTTACTTTGCAGATCAAAAATAAAAGCAAAGAAGGAAGAGTGATAAAATAGCAATATTATCTGAGTTTCAAACAGATAATAACAGCCAGACGATTTCGCAAACGAAAGACATTCTTACGGAACACTTGGAAAGAAGCGAAAGTTGAAGAGGCAGTTCAACTCATTACAAAAAATCCTTGTTCACTTCGTGATTTGTTTATAAACACCTTGAGAATGCGTGAGAGAAGCATTTTGCCCTCGTTTGGGGAGAAAATGAATGATTACAAAAAGTCATCACAGGTCATCGACATACTTGATTCAATTCCTGAGAACGACAACAGGGTCTCTGATCGTCTTCCCCTTTTCTGTGGTAACAAGGGCGTGAACGAATGCAAAAGAGAGAGTTCAGGGCAAAGGACCGAGAAGAGGTACAACAGCTCGTGCAACGGCGTGAATCTTCCCAAGTTACAGAAAAAATCCACCGCCGTCCCTCCACTTGAAAGAACGATTAGTTCACCCGACCCAACCGGTTTTTTAAACGTGGCAAACATTGCTCTCTCTCCACGCGAAAACACTGGTGATAAATTCAAAAGGGAGCCAGTCATCAATTGTGCAGACTATCTCATCTATGAACCTGCATGTACAACTGCTAACTTGGCGACAGCGAACATCGACCTCTCTCGGTACGCCTTCCACTCGTCTCCGGAAAGAATACCCGAGACTGATGGAGAAAGGCTCTTAAGCGTCCATTCGAAGAAGAAACTGCAAAGCGCCGAAGTAAAGAAGAAAGAGCCTAACACACCAGAGAGAAAAACAAGAAAGAGAAGAGAAACCCAAGCAAGTGGTTTGAAAAACGTCGATCTCTTCGACCAGCAAAGACAACATTTGGCCCGTAAAGGTCCACCAGCAAGGGTTTTAGTTTCGTGCAAATTTCCGGAAAGTCGACCCGGAACACCTAACTATTTTAGAAAATCAAGCGCGGTGACTGAAGATCTCTTTTTCCCCAAAATTGTTTTGTACCAGTGGGAAGTCTGTGAGCAACCAAAGATTACTAAAGCTCTCCAATCACGCAAATATCCTATAAGGCTACCTCTGTTACACAAGATTCCTACAGCTCCACAGGACAACCAGCCTATCGATGGTGATTACAAGGGCCATGAGGATGATGCGAAGAGACCTGAGAGTCCTCTTTCAAAAATACCATACCCACCTCCGCCGACTCCACAGTGCCAAACATGTCCGCCTAGCTCAAAAGGGAATATTGCTGATAAATAAATAATGCAGTGTGATATAATTATTTCAATTTCAAATAACAAAGAGATACGGCCATTTTGTTTATTTTCCATTCACCCTGCTATCTGACTGACTCAGTCACATTTTGCTGTTTTCAAAAAAGGAAATTAAAGAAGAAGTACAAGAGAGAGAGAGAGAGAGAGAGAGAGAGAGAGATGATGCGAGAGAAGGCAGATGGAAAACGAGAAAAAAAAGTAATTGAGTAGAGTGGAAGATTAACAATATGCTTGCCATAACAAATTAATTTTAAAAAAAATTGGTCTGAGCTTTTGATGAAAAATACTAATAGCTGTAGTTGTGTCATTCACACATAACTTGACTGAGATTAAAACAAAATATATAAAATTTAATGCAAGTATGGAAGTGTAAATGCACCAACTTTGAAAAAGAAATTTTTACCGTACAGGTTCATAAAGGTACATCGCTGGAGTACTAGAAGAGTCTTATCTCAGTATAATCCAACACTGTTTCGCTTGAGTCTAATAAATAATCCAGCCGTCTAGGGCTAATTTTTTTTAACTGTGTTACTGATGTAAGGTAATTTCCTAAGCTCAAACATGGTGACATAAATTTGGATCTAAGCATGCATTAACCTGATTTTGTCAGAGATTTTTGTAAAACGTATTACCACCACATAAAACATCTTTCTTGAATTAAACATACTGTAAGATTTCCTGCCATGTTCTCTCTACGGTTGCATACAATTCGATAAGAAAGTGATCTCCACATAATACACAGCCCGCACGCAGGTCTTCGTTATGAGTGATTCGGCGAGAGCGTTTTTCGCCATCATGAAAGTATGATGCTTTGAGCAACGCGAGTTTGCAAGGGAACCACATCTATTACTGATGTGCTAGATCCCGACAAATCTCTCCCCAGACTTCACCACAAATTCGAAATTCCCGCGGGCGGAGAAACGCGCGGTCTGCAGCACTCGTAATAAGGGCTCGTTCGCAGGCTAGATAAGAAGTACAAATTTCACACCTTTACCTCGAGAAGGTCAATCAGAGAGATCTCCTTTGCTCTATAAATATAAATACGTTTGTCTGGCATAGCTAGTCCTGTGGATGAGCTAAACCCAAACAGGCGTCATTAGTGCAAGAACAATCCCATCATTCAATGGGAAGCGGTATTCAAAATGGCGACAACTTTAGAAAACGCAAACCCGACTATTTTCCTGCAGAAAACAGAGCGGGAAGTTCTCCCTGACGAAGAAAATGAGGATGTTGTGGACAAGATCGATGAACGAGAAGTATTTGATATCCTTTAACAACGGGCTTCTCTCATAATTTGATCTGTTATTTTAATGCTTTCGTTCTATCGCCTGAACTGTCACGTGTAAAAGTGACAGTGCTATTTGATTATTATACATGTACGTCAAGGATTTTTGGTCAATCAAAAGTTTGTTTTTTAGTCCAAAGATTTTCACAAGCCAGCTAGTCTCTTTTTAGTTCGTGACCGAACAGCTGTGGAGACACTCTCTCTCAAAATTAATAGTTAATGTTCAGTTCTTGTTATAAAACAATCTATCGTAGACATGCAACAATGAATCAGTTACTGACAGTCGACATAAAATGATGCTAAGTGCTAGAAAATAGAAGTTAAATGCCAACTACAAGCAAATTGTCGGAAAGAGAAAGTACGATGACCCCCTGTGTTAACTAGAACTTGTATTTGTCTAAAACTGTTGACTTGAATGAATGAAGGAATGAATGAATACCTTTATTTAAGTGTCAAACTGAAATAGCAGTAAAGAATCATTAAATGGGGACACCATGGATAAATTGAAATTAAAAAATAAAAATTATTATACCTTTTTAATTAAAATTGATAACACTGTTTACACTTGATAAAACGAGTATGTAGTGGATGACATTATTTACATGTGCATAGACTTAATGAAATACTAAAGTGTCTATTATGTACGACATAAAATACATTCAGAACATTGAGAATCGGCCAGTAAGGATTTAAATCAAGCTTTCTAATATGCTGCCTAAATACAGATAGTGCAGGAAGGTCTCATATTTTGAGGTATTAGACTCCACACCTTTGGGCCAGTGTATCTGATGGAATGCTTTCCATGTGTAGTCGTACTAAATCTAGGCATGGCAAACTCTTTGTTTCTCTGTGAAAATTTTGTGTTTGTCATTTGGAAAAGGTCTGCAATATATTTCAGGGAAATGTTGTTTTTTGTCTTGTAAGTAACAACAGCTATATCCTGTAACCATCTGTTACACAGGGTGCATAGATTAGCTGTATTCAGTAATTTATCATAACTTGACTATCTGTTGCAGTAAATAGCTCTGAGTGCCCTTTTTTGTATATGCTCTAATTTTCTACTGTCACTAGCATGACAGAAGTGTTAAACAAGGTGTGAATAAGATGACTTGGATGTGACCTGGCAAAAAAATTTAAGTGATCTGGCCACAATGATAATTCCTATTTACCTTTACTGAAGGAACATCTGATTCGTTCTATCAATGATCCTGAACATCCTCTTACTCTGGAGCAGCTGAATGTTGTGGAGCAGTCTTTAGTAGAGGTGGATGATGCAAATAATTATGTGAAAGTTCAGTTCACCCCAACAATTCCTCACTGTAGTATGGCAACCCTGATTGGTTTGGCAATACGAGTCCAGCTTTTAAGATCACTGCCTGAAAGATTCAAGGTACAATATAATTTATTTATTAGATCTCACTCTGTGCTAATTTAATCCATATTATAAACACAGATTTCTCCTGTTTGTGTTTAAATCCCTGTGATCTCAACTTGATTGTATTCTGTAATCAAAAACTCCCTGTGAGGAACTTACTGGTGACATTTATAGAGAAATTATATATCTCTGAAAAGGAATGTTTGCTCTACAGCACTAAATTTGTACTCAACCCCAGGTAACCAAGCTTATTCTGCATTTACCTTGATATTGAAACTTGTTCTTGATGATTTTTTAAGAAATAAGAGAAAAGACAAAACATTTTTTCAAGAAAGTATGTCAATTTCAGGAATAACTCCAATGATGCTGTACCCTGCTACCTATTTCTTTTATGGTATTCGTGATATTTGATTTGAACATTCCTCACGTGAAAGTTCTCTTACTCACCAAGCACTGATGAGTACTTCTTTAGACAGGTAGTATTCAAGAGTCATGGTCGTTTACTTTTAATTTAGTAATATTTTTGAACTTATTATTTTCCAGGTTGATATCAGTATAACCCCTGGTGCCCATGCTTCAGAAGATGCAGGTAATGGTTTTTTTTCTATGTTTATCCAGTGTAAACTCCTTTAACCCATTTAACACCTAGGAATGACTAGCATCCAATTTCTCTCTGTAATATTCCCCTTGAATCTAACACTAAGGTCAGGAGAATAGAAGAAATGATCACCAACTAAAGAAGCTTTAATTGCTAAACAAATTCTCCTTGGCAGCACTTAAGAAAATGTATAGAGGACAGTATTGAGAATATGCATACTGATGTTAGGTTTTAAAGGGTCAACCATCTGACCTCTGATAGTGACTAGCATCTTATTTCTCCTTACAATATCGCCCTTGAATCTCACATTATGGTCCTGAAAATAAAGGAAATGGTCATCAACTGAAAAAGCTGTTGACTGTTAAACAAATTCTCCTTATAAGCATCTTAGAAAATGTAGAGAATATACATACTGATGTTAGGGTGTAAACTTAAGAGTTAACAGACTGATGTAATGACCACCTGTGCTTATCCCCAATTGAACTCAAATAAAAATTTGCATAGCATGTAATTTAGTGTTAACAACTGGGTTGAAAATGTAAATTGGCCACTGTAAAGAGTAGAAAAGCTGACATTTCACGTGTTAGCCCTTCATCAGAGCAATACTCTCCCACAAATGTAGCACCACAGTTTCTTTGGAAACTTACCCCCTTAAAACTTTGCATACCTTGTTACACTAACAATGTCAAAGAAAAAGACAGAAATGAAACAGAAAAAAACTAATGACTACAAACTGATTAAGAAAATCTTTTTCTCGCATGCCAGAATTAACCTTTTATTAATGATGTTTCCACTGATTCAAAAATAGGTAAAAAGGAAAGGAAAAAATCATAAATTAGTTAAAATTTACTTTAATGTGTTAACCATCTCTAGCATGTGGAAATTGAAACAACAGATTTAGATCATGTGAAGGGGATTTATATGCTTATTAATTCCTATTTAGCTTTTCTCTCTTCCTTTTTTTGCTGTTTTTCTATAACGACATTTTAGCAACATTCCCCTCAAGCAAGTGGGAATCATGGTTCTCTATTTTGATGTTTGTGTTGTTACCATGCATTTCCCTCGTTCCTTTGTTTCTTCTTCAGTAAACAAGCAGCTGGCTGATAAAGAACGAGTTGCTGCAGCTTTGGAAAACACTCATTTGTTGGAAGTTGTAAATCAGTGCCTCACAGCGCGTCACTGAGGTGGCTTATAATATTTGTAATGGGAACAAACTGTATATGGCTGCAAAAATTGCACTGAGGGATAATCTAGGTAGTTAGTCAGCATATCACAGTTTGCTGTGAAGGGTGGCAGCTAAAAATACAACCTACATGTATTTGCCTGACAATCAACTTAAATGTGTGAACTCCATCTGATTTGGAAAGTATTACAGTAACACTAGACTTTCATGATGTTGGTACACCCAAACAGAAGTTCCTCACTCTCCATTTACTTCAAATTTTAAAACATTCAGTGAAAGCAGAGGTTCACTATGCTGCTAGTAATGCTGTGGCTTGATTTAATAAACAGTGACACAAGACAGGTTATCCCAAACATCCTACATGTAGGATACAGCTGTTGTTTGGTCTAGTCTTTTCACCCAAAGAAAAGGAAAGATTTCACCCACCCCTAGACAGGGGCTTATCATGGTGGGTGGAATTGGAGGGGGGGATTAAATTAACAGCTAACTGAGGGTCAATGTGCATATTGTTATTTTTCACCCGTACTGTCCCCCAAATTTAATGAATAAAATACAAACACCTATTATGTTTAAAATGGAAACTACAGCTGGGTTTTAATTCTAAGTCAATTTTGTACAGCAAGCAATCTACCTAGTCTGATTAAAAGATAATAAACCAACCACTTTACCTTTGTTGACTATAGGGAATAGGGAGGAGTATTTCTTGGAAAATTAAAGTTCTAGACCTGATGGAAGTACATTGAGGTGTGATTGGTAGTCACAGGCTGTATATCTAACGTCTCTTTTTATTATAAGACATACTCTTATTGTTGTACATAACACTTTATGAAGTTGTTGAAAAAGCTCATTAATTCTTGTACTACTAACTCAATGATATGAGAGTTACAAATTAAGAACTTTTAAATCCTTACATACACTGTACATGTAACAATCTCAGTTTGCAAAATGTATGAACCACATTTACATGCTCATGTATGTACAAAGAATGTTTTATGTTTGAAAAGGCTATTTAGCCGTAGTCAATCAGATTTAAATATATAATACATGTACAAGATATCAGAATAAATAAGTTGTATTACTTAAAGACTATGATCAAAGTTCTGTAAATTGTTAAACCATTTAAAATATCTTCATAGTCAAATAAGTATGAGGAACCGTTGTTCACACAAAAAATGCAGCACTTAAACAAAGCTTAAGAATGAAAATTCACTGAAGACCTCATTGTCTAAAATTTTTTTTCTTTCTCTGGAATCACTACAAACACAACACACTCTCTAATGATACTGAATAAATGAAAATGAATAACAAAGAGGACATCAAATTGTTCTTAATTAATGTACGATAATGTTCAACATGGAGAGATCCTGCAGAAATTGGCCTACTGGCATTGGTCCAAAGAAGTTAGTTATTAACAAAAGTACTACAACATCGTAAAATTACAATATCAGCTAATCTGTTTGACTTAAAAGCTTGAGAAATCATCTATGGTCTCTAAATTAACTGTGCAAGTATGCACAACTCAGAGGGCTGTGGATTAATGTCAACTGTTTAGAAGCACTTGGGATGTATAAGAAACTGGAAAAAGAATCAGAAGCTCAAATACAGCACTTCTCTTGGGTTTGTATTAATATCATATCCTGCAGCTTACACGACACAATATGACTTTCAGAACAACAATGCACTTCCTGATTGTAGCTACGGTTAACAGGTTCATTTAGTATTATCAACTTAGTTGATAATGTAAGTTGGCTGCTGTAAAGAGTTTCAAAGCTGATGTTTGGAGTGTTAGCCCTTCCTCAGAGCAAATGGCAAAGAAATAACTCTTGAAACATCAGCTTTAAAACTCTTTATAAAGGCCAATTTATTCTATCAACTCATTTGATGCAGCACCACGGTTTCACAAAATCCTTTGAAGTTTATGCTAATTTCTATGGAATCCCAGTACTCTAGTGAATATCTTAATGTCCTAAGATAATATAGTTTTTTGAATTGATACATGAGGTAGTTATAGAAGGCCTTCAGCATTGAATATATTCTTAACTTACAGAAAACTATTTGACCACATTTCAAGCACAGTTGTTTTTCATCCTACTATCAATATAACCATTTTTTATGCTATTGGAAGTCTCAAAATTGTACCAGTTCTCATACTGGTTGTGGCAGATAATTTCCGTTCAGGCAATCCATCTGAGGCAACCACTGGTGAATCATTAGTGCTGGCAACTGTAAATGTTTGCTCAGCATCCAGTGCAAAATGAGCTGTTACCATCTTCTGACCCACAGACAGAAATGGATCAGGCTTTTTCCTGAAAGAAAAAAGAAATAAAACATTCATCAGCCAAATAATAATTTTCTAAATATCATTATAATTGTATCTCTCAATGCAAATCACTTAAACTACACATATTTCTGATACAAATATGTGAATTTGCTCATTTCTTACCCACAAAAATGATAGACATTGGATGAAAAAGTCTGTATTAAAAAGACAAGTGATGAATTGCATTTATGTACACTGTTATTGTCTCAGTATAATTTCTTTGAAACATTATTAAATTCTGTTGGGCTTGGCTGCAATAACTGTTTCAGAATAAAACTTAAGCTACCTTAGCAAAGGAAAAGCTGGAAGGTTAACATTTCAAAAATTCTGTGAAAAATTGACCAATAAGAAGAATTCCCTGCCAGTTTGAAGTTTTGATTTGGAAATAAATGAAAATAACCAGTTGAGAGTAATTTAAAAAACATGCATGTTCAGCAGTCTTACAAAGCTGTGTTCTGTTAAGAATCACTGGGTGCCTGAAGACTCTTGCTTAAAAACTTTGGGGGTTCCTTGTTCAAGAAAGCTTTAATACAAATTAGGGTGTACAAGTAATCAAACAGGTTGCTTAAAAGTAAAAGTTAGAAGTCTGTGAGACTTGGGTTCACGACTGGAGCACAAGAACAGCCCTGCTTCACTGCAATTTCTACGTGAAACAATCATATAGGACATGCACATAAACTACATAGATCAGTGGTACACTCAAAAAATAGTTTCACTCACATTATGGGAGGAAGACCAATTCTCTTGCAGTGTTGCCATCTCTCAACAAATTGTCGAGACAGTTTCACTTTTCCTGCATGAAACTGAATCACTTCATAAAGAAAAGGATCATGCCGGCACAAACTTAGAAGCTGTCTTTCCCCAATACTGTCATAGCTCAAGTAACCCAGGGCAACTGCAGCTGCTGCCTGCACAGTTTCATACTGTGATGTCAACAGTTTGCCCAGTATGGGAATAGTTCCTATGGAGATAATGGCACCTGGAATTCCTGCTCTTGAATGAGCAAGTCCTCCAATAAAATTTGCAGCAGCACATTGGATGTCTTCTGTAGTTGAGTCAAGAAGTGACACCAACATTTTAATTCCAGTTGCTGAGGTCAAAGATTGGTCCTCATCTGGAATGATCCGGGATAAAACCACCACTTGAAATGCTGTATAGGTAGCTAACCTTTCATTTTTCTGCTCCAAGAATGGGACAAAGCTGTGGTACCTTACTCCCCCAGACACTGCAATATTTCTTTGGTTGGCCACATTATTGTAAGCAAAAACAGAGAGTGCAGCTCCAGCAAGAAGGTGCACCTCTTCATCATCATCATAAAGCTGTCGCAAAATATGAACAAAGCTGAAGTCTTTATGATCCAGCGTTGCTTTCATGTTGGTAGAGTTTCTCAAACAAACACAGCCAAGAGTATAGGAAGCTTCTGCTTTGATAATGTCCTGTCTTGCTTGCACCATGTATCTGATCAGAAATTTCAGGCCCCCTTCCCTAGTAACAGCATCTTGATTTTGGATATGAGGTCTGAAGCTAAGGCAGAGACACAGTGCACGTAATGTCTGTAGCACACTTAGGATAATGTATGCTGGTGTGTTGGATTTCCCCAAAAGACGAACCAATGGCATCACACCATTTGCTTGGGCAATTTCATCCCTTTTGTTTCTGACTCCCTCTGCAAGAACACCAAGAGCTTCTGAGCCAATGAAGTGTAAGCTCTGAGGTAAATTCTCAGATAGAAATTCAATGAGGAGGTTAATCCCAATTTCTGCTGCAATGGACCGTCTCTGTACATTCTTTTCCCCAGCAATTGCCCAGAGTGCTCCTGCTGTGAGTGTTCTTAAATCAGCTGCTCTGGATCGCTTCAACAGTCGCATCAGCATCATAACGCATCCATGTTCTGTTACAATTCTCTGATTGCTCTCATTACCTTCTGCTAGTGCATGAATTCCTTCAACTGAAGCAAATTGGCATTCTCTTGATCGCAATCGCATCAATTCCATCAATGGCTGTACTCCATTTTTAGCCACAAATGCATTTTGATTAGCCATGTTTCCCTTGACAATAGCACCCACTGTTTTCGCCACAGCAGCTAGCACATGTTTGTTTTTCACTGTTGTTAGCAAGCTGACCAGTGAGTTCCATATTTCATTATTACTCCCCACAGTTGCTTGTACCTCAGAATTTGAGATGGATAACACTCTTAATGTACTTAGGGCTGATTCCACCACCTCTTCGTCCTCGGTGTGCTGGAGTAACCTCACCAATGATTCTATTCCACCATTGTTAACTGTAGCCTCTTTGTTGTCATCATTATATGCCAAGGCCTCAAGCAGCCTTGTAGCAGGAAGATAAACATCTCGTGGGGTGTCGGTAAGTTGTAAAATAATTGGAGGAACAGCTTTGCTTTTAGAAAGTTGTTCCTTACCTCTTTCGTCCTCAACAAGATTCAGCAACACAGAAAGAGCAAATATATTTGACTCTACGCTGGATAATGAATTTTTCAATAATCCTAAGAGAGCTTGGACTCCTCCGGCATTTAAAAACGATTCTAAATGATCAGAGTTTCCCTCACTCGTAAGTTCCACTAGTGCTTTAGCGCACGATGTCTCCAGATCACTTACCGACAGACCACGAATAAGATTTTTCCACACTTCGAGATCTGGACTGTCCAACTTTAAAAGATACTCCAAAACGCCAATGTGATCCTTCAATGCTGCAAGCTCCACAGCGCCAAACAGTTTTCGATCTTTAGCCTTGAGATTAGCACCCAACTCTTCCGCCAGAAGTTGTACGGTGTCAGCATGGCCGTTCATACACGCTAGTAGAAATGGAGTCAGCTGTTGTCCATCTTGAGTCTCAAGCTCTAATTGGTCCTCTCTGGATTTTATGAAACGACTAACACTCTTGTAATAGCCATTGTAAGCTGCGTGATGTACATGAGCCCAACCATTTTCATCAAATTCATCCATGTTTACATAAGCCGAGCTGGACCACTCAACTCGAAGACACAACGGGGCTCGTCCGAAAGCTCAAAATTGTATTTTTATAAAGGTGTAATCCAACAACAAAATACCTTGAAAGCCAGATAAAAAGACATTTCGCTGGATCAAGGTACCTATGATCTCATTCCTGGTTCAGATTTTATGAAATCCTCAAGTGTTGTCAATCGAGCTGTTCAGTTGCTAACGGAGGTTGCTACGCACTTGAAAAGAACGATCAATCGCCAAGTCAACTTCAGTGTTACAATAGAAAGCACTAAGTCACCATGAAATCCGTTTATCTCCTATATAAGCTAAAATGTCTCACTAATTCGAAACACGTTTCCCATTTCTCGACAAAAATACTGCGTGGGAATGCGCAGAAACAGCATTGAAAAGCTTACCTAGCAGATAACCCTTCAAACGAATCATAAATTAGAAATGAGTAAGACAATGTGATTGGTCAGTTGTATTGATTGTTCTCTTTGTTCGTCGGTGGAGTAGTCAGATCTGGTTTAAACTCCTCATTTAAGTCATTCATTACAAGGCTTATCATTTAGCAAGAGGTCATCTTTGCCAAATTACTATTAGTATCAATATTTTTACTAATTTTGAGGGTCTTCAGGGTCCAGTTGTATGACGGGCGGATAACGTTATCCAACGGATAAATTGCTTTCCGGCGGATAAGTGATAGCAAAACGAGTAGCTTTATCCACCGGATAGAGAATTATCCTATGGATAGCGTTTTACAACCTTCGCACATTCGAGGCCAGATGTTTTACAAGGTGAGGCTCAGTTTGTCGCCTGCGGGAGAAGAGGGGGGAGGAGGGGAGGGGGAGTTGGAGAATTTTGGCTCTGTCGTGATTAAATCTACCTGAACCTTCAATAAGGCTCTCTTATGTATTCTCTAGCTGCCTGTCGTTAAGTAAATCTGAGGAAATCAATTGCAAGATAGCTGGTATCGATACACTCGACGTAACCTAAAAAATTGGTGTCTGGGTTAAGACGGATGTTTTGGTTTAAAATGAGAGGACCATGAAATGTTTCACAAGTCTACTAAGTTAGTACACGTAGCTTGCGATTGGGGCCTTGGAGTGCTGATACATATAAGACAAGGCCAGGACGCATAATTTTTTTGCGTCCACTGTTCTATAAACTCAAACGGAAACTTAAAATCATATATTAAATTACAACCGCACCCCACCCCCCTCCATGCCCCAGCTTGCATTAAGCCGTTGACTTTCTTAGACCCTAGGCATCATTCAAATGAAGCCGTCTTTGCTAAAAAGAAAAAAAAAACATGTCACTCAGGTCAAAGAGGAGGAGAAATTTTTTACCGCTATGCAAATGCGAAAAGGGAACCAAAAGGTGTTGCAGAGGTAGAATTTGAAATAATTAGCGATCATTAGTGCGTGCGAATATTTTGCGCCTTTGAACGTAAAACTACTTGAATTCCGCTAAGTTTTTTTTACTGTCATGCGCACCTCATCCAAAATGGTAATTTTTGAATTTTTTAACGGTGACTGTTTACTTTATGACGCTGAAAAAGGACGGATTCATTAGATATCCTTCATGTCACCATTACATTTGATGACTGTCTATATCATTCCTGGTAGGCGATAGCTAAAAACATCTTGCAGTTCTTTTAACAGCCAAGATGCGAGACTTGGACGAGTTTTGTCAAAACTTTTATGATAAAACTCTTGCGAACTGATCACGCTTCAAATTCAAACTTCACCAAAAGTTCACAACTTCCAACAGCATTGGGCTAGTTTGAAGCGTTTGTTAGTATTGGAACTCCAGGTTACAACACGGTAAATGAAACAATTTGTTATCAGAAAGTTGCTGCGTGTTAAAATGTCACACCGAAGGAATAGCAAACAAGTGTGGGACGTAGATGGGCAGAAAGTTTCCACACCGACTTTATACGATTCAATTGTTTTCGCGGAATGCATATTAATGTGCTCAAACAACGTTTCCCAGATTTCGATGTTATTAGAAACATCACGTTACCTATATCTAATTTTAAACAAAATTACATATTATATTTTATATAAAAACAGAGTAGATGTAAATGAATGATGTAACATCATATAAACTTTATCATATAAACTACGGTGTTATACAAAGACCACTCACTGGGACTGTTGCCTCGTCGTGGCTGAGTGGCTTGTGTGTCCCAGCGACTCCAAGGGCTATGCCGGCGGGGGTGTTTACGGAAAGGTCAAGGCGTGGGGTCCAGACTAAAGACAGTCCCACGGCCCTCCAGGCATGGGGGTTAGGCTTAGGGCTAACTACCTTATCCTGTAAAAAGAATTTGTTACAGAAACAGCAACGAAGACAACCAATATCCTGCACGCAGACCTTCCAAGGTCTTCGAACCGTATGACTACCAGTGGTGAAAGCCCGAAGGAAACTATTGGCATGAAGTTGGAAATGATGAGTGCAAAAACCAAGACCAGGATTGGTTTTTGGAATGTACGTACCATGTACGAAACTGGGAAGCTTGCACAGGTTACAACAGAAATGAGACGGTATAACTTGCATGTATTGGGCGTAAGTGAAAGCAGATGGATAGGGACAGGGAGATTAAAGACGGTGTCAGGCGAGACGGTATTGTATTCTGGGCGGGATGATGAGTTACACCGTGAAGGCGTGGCAATTATTCTGAAGAAAGGAGCAGATAGATCGCTGTTGGAATGGAAACCTATTAATAGTCGCCTCATAAAGGCCAGGCTGAAAGGAAAGCAAAATAACTTGACCCTGATTCAATGTTACGCTCCGACCAATGATAGTGAAGATGATCTGAAAGACAATTTCTATCTCAGGCTCCAGGCAGAGATCGAGCAGGTCCCAATGCAAGATCTTATCATCATCATGGGGGATCTAAATGCCAAAGTTGGTGCCGATAACTCGGGCATTGACAGAGTGATGGGAAGACACGGGAGTGGCATCATCGATGAAAATGGAGAAAGGCTTGTTGAGTTTTGCACAACTAATAATCTGGTGATAGGGGGCACCCTTTTTCCACACCGAGAGATCCATAAAGTCACATGGTGTTCCCTGAATGGCAGGGATAGAAATCAAATTGACCATCTGTTGCATTGATCAATGGAAAATGGCGGAGATCCCTTCGGAATGTCAAGGTGAGGAGAGGAGCTGACATTGGAAGTGACCATCATCTTGTAACAGCCTGCCTTAAACTGAAATTAAAGAGTGCTGGGCGTCTAACCAAGGGGCGCAGCCGTTTCGATGTGAGCCAACTGAAACACCCAAATGTGCGAAAATCTTTTATCCTGGAGGTGCGCAACAGATTCGAGGCTCTTGTGGAACTAGACGGAAGGGAGGATATTAACGATGAAGGGGTGAACAAGAACTGGGAGAAAATTGTTACTGCTTACAATGATAGCAGCAAGACATGTCTAGGCTGCAGGCAGCAGAGGCCAAAAGAATGGATGTCGTCTGATACCTGGAAAACAATTGAAAGTAGACGGAGATTAAAGAAGAAAGTTATGGACTCCAAATCCCAACAGCTTAAAGAAAGACACCAAGAGATGTATTGGGCAGCGAACAAAGAGGTGAAACGCCGAACAAGAGCAGATAAACGGAAGTACATAGAGAACCTCGCATCCCAGGCGGAGGAGGCAGCTGCACGCAATGAGCAAGGAACAGTATATAAGGTCACCAAGATCATAACAGTTAAATGCCATACAACCAACGTGCTTAGCTTGTAAAGGACAAGAAAGGTATCTTATTAACATCAGAGGGAGAGCAGCAACGGCGCTGGACGGAGCACTTTAGAGAGCTTTTAAACAGACCACCACCAACAGTAGTGCCAACATCCAGGAAGCCGCAACCGACCTTGACATCAGCACAGGCGTTCCAACTAGGAGGGAAATCATCCAAGCCATTAATTCCCTGAAGAATGGAAAAGCTCCTGGCCATGATAATCTAAATGCCGAGCTGTTTAAAGCAGACCCTGAGCTTGCTGCAACCATTCTGACCCCCTTGTTTACAAAGATCTGGGAGCTGGAAGAAATTTTGACAGATTGGAGCAGAGGAGTGATAATCAAGATACCAAAGAAAGGGTCTCTAAGTGATTGTAACAACTGGCGAGGAATTACCCTTTTGTCTGTGCCGAGTAAAATCTTTTGCTAGGTCATTATACAGCGCATCACCCAAGCTGTTGACGATCTCCTGCGGAACGAGCAATCTGGATTTCGCAAGGGGCGTGGATGTACGGATCATATTTTCACACTGCGGAACATACTTGAGCAATGTACTGAGTGGAACAGGGAGTTGTATGTAAATTTCATCGACTATGAGAAAGCGTTTGACAGCATTTACAGGGACAGTCTTTGGCAGATTCTAAGAGCATATGGCATTCCACAACGCATTATTAATATCATCAAATGCTTCTACTCAAATTTCACATGTTGCATCGGTCAGGGAGATCTAAGTTTTGAAGTTAAAACCGATGTACGTCAGGGATGTGTCATGTCGAACAATGGAAGATCAGCGAAGAGGTATAAGATGGACCCCTTTTACTATACTCGAAGACCTCGACTTCGCAGATGATTTAGCCCTATTGTCCCACACACGACAGCACTTTCAGGAAAAGACAGACCGGCTCAGCATGTTTAGCAACCAGGTCGGCTTGAGAATTAGCTGGAAGAAGACGGAGGCCATGTGTGTTAATTTCCCTTCCGCAACAAAGATCAGGGTAAGAGGACAGGACATTCCATACATCAACAAGTTCACATACCTCGGAAGTGTGCTCTGCCAAGATGGGGGTACTAGTGTAGATATACAAATCAGATTGAACAAAGCAAGAAATGCTTTAATGAGCTTAAGATCAGGGTGGAGGTCAGCAAGCTACAGCACAAATACGAAGCTTAGAATCTATCAGAGCTGCGTATTGTCAACTCTCCTTTACGGCTCGGAATGCTGGCGAATGACAGAACAGGACCTCTCAAAACTAGCATCCTTCC